TTGTTACTAGTAGTAAGGCACTTGTTCCTAGTAGCGTGGCACTTGTTACTACTATTAGAATGACAACGCATCACCAGAGGCACGAACGCCACGAGGTCATAGCCATAACGTCGGAGCCTCGGCAGGAACTTCGCCGACCATGGGACGATTCGCCACGCTGTGTGCGCAGTTACGGCATTTGCGTCCCGAAAGTTCAAGGCGGCAGCGCTCTACTTGTACCTTCCCTCCAAATAACATAATAACATGTGTGAGCTCAGTGCAAGAGTGCAAATACCACACAGTCTGGCGATGTTTGTCCTCTGAATGGCCGCCCCTTCCTCCGTTCGTTCCTTTGAGGCTTCTACAACTGCACCTCGTATGCCAGCGAGCACCCCCGGATGGGAACCTGACTCACTTGAAAACACCACCTGGATCAAACAAATGACAAATGACAGCCAGGTCCATCTGATTCCACATGGTTTCGATTCCAAGGCTCAGAACGAGCGTTCCAAATATTTCCCAGCACTGTCCGGCCACACGCCGCCTCTTCGGGGCTATGGAAGGAGTTGAAAAAGCTCCAAAGCCTCAGCGAAAAGCGGTGAGATTCAGATAGTACAGTCTATGGTCCGTCAAACCATGTCGAACAAGTGTCATGCCCATGACTTGAACAGCGACAGGATGAGATATATATAGAGAGAGAGAGATATATAGAATCCCTTCGTTCGACCATCACATACCATCACCATATCTCGTACGCAAGGTACACTCATTATTGTCCGCATCCTACCCTGAAGGTCCGCATGTGTGAGCTTGTCATTTGCCTCACTTTGGTACAAAATAGCTTGCCAACGCAGAATACCCGGTCGCCTACTCATGTGCCGGGTGGCTCTTTACCTCTTTCTTTCTGCTCCGCACCGGTGGCCCGCCAGGGCCTGGACTCCGGATGGTGCAGCATCGCCCACCTCGAAGGCTCGGACCGGCCACAGCCGGTGGCCACCGCGGTGGCGAGTCCAAGGCCACAGCGTTTTGCTCTGGTGAGAGATTGTCAGGGTGCGTTTGCTGGTAGAGTAGGGATTCATGAACTGCCAGGGCCAGGGATTCATGAACCCCTCAGGACACAGCAGTTCACCCCTTGATGATGCGTGCCAGAAGCCCCCAACGATCCCTCTTCGCTGTGGAGCCCGAGCTGGTAAGGTGGAGGGATGGATGGGTTGGCCTGGCGCCGGTCGCCGCGCGTCCCGCGTTGCTGGACATGGCGTTTCCAGTCGCCACATGATTCGCAGCCGACGTGGAGACGCAAATGATGCGAAATGTCGAAAGGACGGGGGAAGCTCAAGAGAGCAGGGCTGCAAGATCGTGCAGTAGCTCATGAAATCCTTTCTTTCGTGCCAGTTTCCTTCCAAAACTTCTCGTTATACGGTGAAGTCCCATCAGCTGCATCTTTCGTCCCATCCTCAACCAGGACGATCTTCGCCCGAACGTCCGGCCTCAGCCGCCGGCCGTCGAAAGGCTGAACTTTGACGAAACATGCTTCCCAGTAAATCCCAGTTGACACTATACTATATACAGTACAATAAAGAACCAGGGTTTCTAGGTCTATCGGCGGCTTTAGCCTTTGGAACCACAGGTTACCGCTATTATATAGGCTTATAGTGGTAACTGGATGCCCTGGGTTTCGTTTGTTCACTGTGGGAGGGCAGATTCAGCTCCAAGCAAGATCATTTCCAGCACAGGGCAGTCATAGGAGTCGATATCCACCTGACCAGGTGGGAAGTAAAGAAACTCAGAAGCTTCAAGAGGAGCTCGCGAGTCGTTGTTGATCTTGCAGGGGGGTTCTTAATCTGAAACTGCTCAATTCCCCAAATCCTGGCAAAATGATGCTAAATGCATATAGAGGGAAATGACCACATCCCGATTCGACACCGGTTCGTTCGAACCGGTGTCCCCGAGAAAAATCCTGGAGGTCTGACCATGCTGCCGTGGCTGAATTGATAGGACCACTCACAGGACTCATTTGAGATTTAAACATGGACCAATCAAGATTTTTTATACTCCTATGCCACGCCTTCAGCACATCAATTTCATCCACAGAATCCAGCCTGACGCCAAAAAAAAATTGTCATCAAGTGTACAAAATCAAACCATTCAAAGGCTTGAATGATTCAGAGAGCCTCAGCCAAGCTTCTCAGCCAGGCACAAACATGGGTCCCAGCCAGGCTTCTCAGCTCGTTTGGCACCACCGTTTCGCGACAAAAAAGATCTGTGGACCATGATGTTTCTGAGGCGCCAACGCCGGCTGTATCAGCGACATGATGTTCTGAGGTGTCACCTGTACCATTGGGTAGTGGGAGGCCGTCTATTCTCCTGGATTTTCTAGACATCACATGGCTTCTATGCAGTGGCTAACGCGGCTGGAAAGGTGTAGATTCGTTTCATGGGGATGGCGAAGCACTACTCCGGAGTGAGTGCTGGTGATTTCCCCTGATTTGCAGTTAGTCTGCGAGGACCAGGAGGTTACTAACCTGTCACAACATGAACTCTTGCTGAGTCGTCCACAAACATGGGTGCCGGAAGCCGGCGATGCTAATGCTATGGACCCCCTGTTTGCCACTATTTTGCCTGTGATTGCAATATTCACATCATCAATATGTGTTGCACTGGCTGCTGACCGGTGCGACGAAAGTAGGGAACGAGTCGTTCCTCCCAATTCCTTAGGGCCTTAAAGTCCCGCAATCCTCATCCCCGACGGAAAATCGAGCCAGTCAGACTTGGCCAGGGAGGATATTTGATCTTCCATGATCAACCAGCCACTCGGAAGGTTGAAAGCCATGATCAACCACCAACATTCCATGATCGTTCCCAACGTTGGTTGAACGTCCAGCCATCCTCACTCCCAACCTTTCAACCAGCCACTGAGAGGTGGCCGACCGCACTCGGAGCGGCCACCGCGTTCGTTCCGCGTTCGTTCCGCCGCCTCGGAGCAAGCGACCTGCACCTTTGGCAGGGCTGCCCGGTGACCTTGAGGGCGAGGCGCCGCTACATCGACTGACCATGGTTTCAAAACCCGAAAGGTTGCACTATGACTATGACCCCCTGCATCCCCCTGCAATTGCACTATGATTAGGAGTCGTACTCATCTGGCCTGTTCAAAAAGGGGACGGCCCGACTGACGGCCTGCTAGTTCGACGTTCCTCGCACTGCATTTGTTTGAGGTTTTCAAACACAAGAGCCCACCAAACAACGGATTTGGGGTTGCCTTCATCTCCCTTTGCCCTTGCAATGCACCCCCTCCCGCGGGGCAAACGCACGTGGACTTGAAGCCAACCTTTCTGACGTATAGCCCTAACTACTTAATGGGCCACCCCCCTCAGCCGCCGTGCGTTCACATCGTTCGGGATCGCGTTCCACCGCCATCCCCGTGGCGTTGCTGAGACCTCCACGCCGACGCCACGACGTCGACATGGAGAAGTCCACAGACTTCGGGCTCTCTCCACGACGAATCCAATGGCATGAATTGTGCGGGCCAGTTGGGCGCATGGGCTGCGGGAGCTTTGGCCCAAAACGCAGAAGCAGCTTTTTATTGGGGGGGATGTGTCAGACACCCTCTCATTTTGATTGACTAGCTATATGATTCGATCACAAGGAACTCCCCCAGGATCTCAAAAAATGCTCAGAAACCCACTTCCGTGCACCTCTCCTGGAGAATCCTTCATCCTCACCTTCTGAAAACACAACACAGACAATGGCTACGTCCACACTCTATATACTGTATTCACCAATTGGAATGTGTTGGAATAATCCCTGGGAACCTGGGATCCTTGGAATACATTGGGAAATATTGCAACAATTACATACAACATCACACAACATCATATAGAGTATATACTTATAACTACTAATTACCCGCTTCTTCCCGTGTCCTCTTTCAGCGGCTGGCCACCAACCCACCTCTTCTCCACACGCCCAGACTCCCCGCAGCTCATCACAGGACTCCACGCGCGCGTACTCGTAGAGAGGGTCATCGGAACTCGGGAGCGTCCGGCCGCCGTGGGACGGAGGACAGGGTAAATGATGGTAAATGGACCAATTGACCGGCATCGGAGAATGGAAGCAACAAGAACCTCTGGAAATGAAAAGTCGCAAGGGATCAAACTCTTAGGGGAGCAACTTTTTTGGGTAGATGATGGTAGGTGTTCGTTGCTCCATCGGCATCTTGAAATGTTGTGCTCCATTCCCAGCAGCATCACCTGGCTGGGCTCTTGAGTCCTTGAGTCTTGGTCTGTGGAACAGCTGGCGGGCTGAATCAGGCTGGCACCCACCAAAACTTAGTCCAAATGAGTCCAGGGCCCAGAAGTTGACCCCTGACCATGATCCTAAGAATCATCCTGATGTCATAGTGATAGCAATGAACCAGGAGCTTCAGTAGCAGCTGGGGCCAGGTGCTGGCCATCGTGTGCTCCAACATTGATGTAACGCCTTGGCACCAAAACGCACGGGCTTGATGTGCTCGCTGGGCAACTTGTGAAGCAACCTCAAGATCTTCAAGATCGGATCATAGCGCTCGTTTCAATCAACTTGCAATCCAGTGTCAACTATGACTGCTTGAAACATTTAGCCTGCATAAATTTGCTTGACGGCTTAGCTTCACCTATCTTAATCAAATTCGGTCAGGCACAGCTATACAAAGCACGCTCGAATCGAGTTCCGCAGTCTTCAGCTGCTCCCTCCAACGAGCTGCGCAAGAGCTACAGTAATTTGTGGTTAGTCGGATGAGTCCTCACTCCGCTGGCGGCTGATATATTTCAAGAGCTCGTCCAGGATCAGCACGGGAAGTGAGAAAGCCGCAACCAGCACCCAATCATGCGCATCTAAAGGGCACACCCCGAAGATCTGCGCCAAGGGTGTGTAAAGGATCAAGCAATGCAGGGCCGCGGAAATCGCACACGCTGTCACCAAGTATGGGTTGAGCCATGGGGGGCGGGTCAGCAAACTGCCATCTTCTGAGACTGCATTGAAGGCGTTCAGCAGTTGGATCATCACCTGTACCCAAGCACTCCGCGTTTGGCACCTTTACATACCTTTACCATCGTTTACCTACTAGTGGGGGGTGGTTTCAGGGTCAGTGTAGTCCGGGTCAGTCAGGTCCCATGGTCCAAAACTGCTGGAGTCCGTCGTTCTCCGTCGTCCGGGCGGTCCCTGCCACCCAAATATTGGGAGGCCAGGCCTAACCTGACATCAACCGACATCCTGCGCCCGTAATGCCCTAGTAAAAAAAGCGACCTTGTCCCCGGCTCCGCTGTTGTAACCATCCGCGCGTGTGACTGTCTGTCCTTGTCCACATCCAGAGTCTCCCACATCGAAAGCCACCTTAACCCTCCGCGCCCCCCGACCTGGCAAAGGATCGGGGACACTCCTTGAGATTCCCAAGGAGTTTCTGCACAAAACACCTAATGAAGTCGTCCTCCTCCAAACCGCTATCCCACTATCCGCAGTTCATCTCCCAAGACCAAGTGACCAGGACCGTGATGGAGAGCGTAGCTGCCTTGACTTTCCCGACAGTGAAGTAGCTGCATGGATCGGCTGAGAAGTCCAAACCCATCATAGGCACCTGACGTTGACGGCTGAGAAGTTCAAACCAGCCGGATGCAAAGAAAAAGACCAGCTGAAGAGCCGAGCGAAGCTTCACTGCGCTTGGGTCAAGGAGGGGGAACATGTGAACACTCAAATGCGGCTACATGCAGCAACTGCAGTGGTGACTTACCATGTTCTTCTGGTATCAACAATTGTTTTGATGCACAGCAGCAGGCCAAAACAGTATTTCGCACTCGAAGAAACAAGATCACCCCTCCACGAGGGGTCAACAAAACATGGCACACCGCAATCGAATCGCGGTCGTTTTCACTCCGTGGAAACTGAGCCCAAGACGTCTGTGGTTCATGTCTTCATGACATGGCTGCGGGAGACCTCATGCTGTCCTCATGACTCCATTTCAAGTGACTCAGCCCCCAAAAATTCTGTCTCCCCCAGCCTGTCTTCAGGCGTTGGTCGCTTTGTTTCCCCCTTTGGAGGACGTCTGCTTCCTCCTCAATGCGGAGATGGTTGCTCTGCAACATCCGCAACAGAGGCTCGGTGTGAGCGCCATCCAACTTCGTCAGAGCATCTGACGGGTTCAAGTTGTGCGGAAGCCATCTTGCTCTGCCACCAACCACGGACATTGATTCTTTGATGATTGCAATCTCTAGGGCGCTTCTGTCATCTTCTCCGCTGCACTGATCTGAGTTCAGTGCATCGAACAGGCTTTTCGCGTCCATGATGATGACCGCATTGGGGTCGCAGAAGGCTTCCGACTCCTTCGCGATCACGGTGCTCTTTCCCAAAGCTGCCAGCTTCTCATCTTCCGTCCTCTGGCGAGAGCGAGGCTGAAAGCCAGAAATCCGGATGGATTCCATGAAGGCGTCTTGCCTTTCTAAAGCTGCCGTGGCCGCGCTCATCGAGATGGCCTCACACAGCAAAGACGAGGCTGCCTTTCTTCGAAGGCGTTTGGACCGCCACTGCATCAAGCTCACAGGCGCTAGCTTGCCCTGATTCAGCAGCTGGTTGGTGAAGCCAAGCAACCAACCGTGCTGGCTCTTCTCCTTTCCCGAAGTGTCAAAGGCACTGTCTGCAACCAGGACACAGCGCAAGTCCTTCTCGGCAGAAAGAAAAATCCTCCATCTGACGGAGCCTCCGTCCGGCATAGTTCGAGCCTTGCCCACTTGACAAGGCATCCACCTTGCCAAACACGAGCATCGACTCCATTCGCTTCATCAGCTCTTGGTGTCGAGCGTTTCCAGCTTCACAAATGTCGTCAACTTCAATCACCAGGAAACCCTCAGTCAGCTGCTTGACATTGTCGGGCGGAGGTTCTTTGGAAGGTGCTGCAGGAAGGGTCAAAATGCACTTGTCATACACATTGACCTCAAAACCAAGGTCCTCAGTCAACATCTTGATGAGGCTTCGTCGCCACCAGGAAGGTCCAGACACAAGGCCATAGACTTCAGTCTCAAGCATCAGGAGTTGGCGAGGGTCGTAGCCAGCAAGACTTTCATCCTTCGGCTGTCTGATCGCGAGCTTCCGCTTGCGAGTGGTTGGAAGCGCTTGCAAGAAGGCTGTCTTCACATCCCTCACCCTGCAATGCCATTGCCTCGAAGCAGCTAGCTGAAGGCAGCAATGCAGTGAAGTCGACAGTGGTGTAGGCGACGACCTCTCCACCTCCATAATCTGCGGATCTTCCCAGCCAATGACGCAAAGCCTTGACTTTGGGTTTTGTTGGTCCTCCTCCAGAGCAATGGCCTCGAGGTGGCCTTCATCGATCGCTCGCTTCTTGTAGTTCTCGATTTGGTTCTCTGCCACATCTTTCGGTTTGAAGCGATCAACGAACCTAGAGTTGATAACTTGCTCTGGAAACTGCTCCTCAAACGCGATGCTTTCCTCCACCGACATCACCCGCACAGCCTTGTTCTTGATCAAGCTTTCCACCTCCTTCAAACGAGACTTCCTGAACTTCACTTTCTCCTCTTCCGGCAGGTTGCGGAACTCCACTTGTCCAAAAGAGGATTTCGCCTTGCCCACATACATGCAGCGATCGCGAGGACAGAAACTGGCCTCGGCATCGTTGGCACTGAAGGTGCTGTTGGACATGGCCATTGGTTGAAGTACAGGCCGTTGTTGCTCTCGGTTGTACCTCCACGTCGCTCCAATGAAGGGTGAACGACTTTGGAACTGCAGCAAAATGTCATCCTTGTCAAAGTCCATCACCTCCATGTAGAAAGAGCGGCTCGGTGGAGGTTCTGGTAGTGGAGGTCGTTCTTGGTCATACGGATAAGGCATTCTTGGAGCGCGAGATGGCGGGACAAAGCCAACAGGCGGTGTCTCAGGCACCTCCTGGTAGGGAGTGGATCGCATCCGTGGTGCAGTTGGAGCAGGGCCAAAGTGCATTGTCCCATGTGGACCTTCATCCACTCGAACGGTGGTTCTAGTCGGCTCAACTGGAGCCGATGGGGTTTCCATGGTCTCGTCATTCTCATTGACCTCGTTCTCTTTAATGGGAGGCAAAGCCATGGGAGCATCTTCAGTATCGTTCGTGTGAACACTGGCTCGTCTGCTAGGGTTCTGTGACAAAGGTGGAGCTGTGGTAGCCTCTTCTGAGATCATCTCTTCATCTTCATCAACACTTGAAGGTTGATAGGTGCTTCCTGCAGAGCCGGACTCAGCTGGTGGGGCATCATGAGGTGCCTCAGAAATTCGAAGAACTCTGCGTGCTTCTTCCAAGTCTTCGTCCTGCGGGAAGGTCTCAGAAGTGACATCTTGGTAGGCAATCTGGTTGTGTCCTTCTTTGCGGCTAAGCTTCTCCAACATCTCCTTGGAGAGTTCAA